TACTTGAGAAAATGTACTCTATAAAAGGGGAGGTTCCTCTTCGTCGTTATTCGGGAGGGGGGGGTCCTATTCGCCCTCGTGGTCTTGAGAAGTTTTTTTTTCCGGTTGTGGAGTTTTCGTGGTATCCCCTTCCCCCTCTCGCAGCTCGATCATATCAGAGGAGGAAACTACAGTCGTATCAAGCCACCTCGCCGTGATCTAGGAGCGATGGCCTGGAACCAAAGGACCCTGGGTTTTCGCGAGAATTCTGGAGCTTAGACAGTTTTCAGGTCCAACGTTAGCTTGGTCGAGGGTTTTCGACTTACTGAAAGCATGACACATGGTGCCACAATGTTGTACATGAAGAACAGAGTTCTGCGACGAAGGTGGAGTTCGAAAACAACCGTTGCATATCTGAATCCGTCACTAATGGTAAGGAGTCCGAAAGCAAGCGTGAAGTGTGAACCCGTACTGACTCGGTGCTGCCGCTGTGTTGTTGATAACGGAATGTGCGATTGTCAACAATTTCCCATTCGCCATTTTCAGTAAAGGAGTCTCTGGTAAAAGGCGATTTCCCATCATATCGTTCCAAAATCATGAGGTCCAGCTGAGACGTGTCATAGATCCCTATGTAGTGCCATCTTGTAGACAATAGTGTGTTTCAAAAGAAAACGTTCACTTACAGGATCGGAAAATAAGCGAGCAGAACTGGTGATCGAACGGGAACTTTGCCACATCCATGTGGCATCGGCTATAGATCTTCTGTGGAGGCGCCCATTGCACTGAAATTTTTCATTTTCCGGTGAGCAACTCCAGGAAAAAAGAGTTAGAGGGGGCGTTCGGCATTTTTGCTAGTTTCTCTTGAATTAAAACTGCGCCAAGAAAGATATTGCTGGATTTCAGAACTCACACTCTCCATAGTAATTGGCATGAAGATTCGTATCCACAAAACCTCTAGAGAAATCACGTGCACTGAAAAAAAATATTTATTGTAGGTTAGGCATGTTACTCGAACACATTTTATTATCCTTCATTCAGCGTAGAGCAAGTGGAGGAATTTCGCGTTACAATGACGGAAAGGAATCAGCGAAGTGTTCCCTTACTGGCTGATTCGGCATGCTGCAGCTCCTCCACGTTAAAGGCAGTTGGCACGATAAGTCTCCAAGACGTGCAGGACTGAACGCCTGGCAGGACTGAATTAGGGGCCTCTAAGCGAGCGCTGCGTGGCCTTCCCCAGGGAAGGTTTCCATATAGCGCCCTGTCGAGCTGCAACATGCCACCGCGCCGCCCGCCCACAAATGTCCGACTGATGCTGATGCTCGTATCGCTTCATTTGCGAAGTACAATATGAAGCGAAGGGATTGATATGAAGCGGCTGCGGTGCTGCATGGATATATGAGTACATACATGCAGCCGTATCTACCGTTATTGGCAC